CACGAGCAGCTTGTAAGTGCAATAGGCCTATAACTCGAAACTGAAGAAGGGTCCTTGCCCTCTTTCGAAATGGGAATAATAATAGCCTCTTTCCAGGAAGCAGGGATAGTGCCAGAAAACCAGATATCATTGTACAAACAAAATAACGTTTTTTGCGTTTCGATTCGTAGGTCTTTAACATTTCCTAAATCACACGGTCAGAACCAGGGGCGGAATTACTGCAGGAGTTTAGTGATGTTTGGAGCTCAGCTATGCTGAAAGCTTGGTTGTATGCCTCGTATTTTACACATGTGTGTTCTAGTTTCTGCTTTTCTATTATTGTTTTGTATTTTTGAAAAGCATCATAGTGTGACGAGCTAGACACTTGTTCAAAGTGTGCGCCCAGAAAGTCCGCCTGATCTTCCAAGCTGTCACCATGTGTGTTCACGAGTGAGAGTGAGTGTACTTGTCTTCATGCTATTTACCAACCATGTTCTAGACTTTAGCCTCCTGTGTATATGAATTGATCCCTGATAAGAACTTCTGCCAGCTTTCTCTTCTGACCTGCCGACGCGTTCTCCTGCTTTGAGACAATTTTTTTTTTAAAGCTGTCAAGATTGTCCGTTGTCGGTGAGTTCCGAAGCAACCTCAATGCCTTGTTCTGCTCCTTTTGCGCATTCCGACACTCAGTATTGCACCATGGGACACGTCGCTTGCCAGGCATTCCAGATGTTTGTGGTATGCACTTGGCTGCTGCGTCGGTAATAAAAGCTGTGAAGTACTGCACAGCTCCATCTATGTTTAACCTACGTATATACGTTCGTTTAACTACTCGTTTAATTTGGACCGACATATGTCGGTCCAAATTAAACGAGTAGTGCTTTGAAACTGTTTCCAGTCTGCTTTATTTATCAGCCATTTGGGAACATGTGGAGGACATTCATATGTTGTTGGTCAACTCAACACTACAGATAAATGATCACTTCCATATGAATTATTTATGGTTTTTCATTTCAATAGGGGTCGAAGTGAAGGTGACACAATGCTGAGGTCTATAGACGAGTAGGTTTTGTTGGCGATGTTATAGTATGTTGGCTCTTTCCTATTCAACAGACAGGCACCGGAAGAGAAGAGAAATTGTTCAATGAGATGACCTTGTGCATCACAGCGAGAATAGCCCCACAGACCGCTATGTGCATTTAGCTCCCCAAGGAGCAGATAAGGTTCAGGTGGTTCGTCTATTAAAGACTGTAATTCACGTCTTTCAAGACGGTGGTGCGGAGGTATGTACAAAGAGGAGACGGCGACGAGCTTGTTTAGAAGTACTGCTCTGGCTGCCACCGCCTCAAGGGATGTCTGGAGTGGTAAATGTGCGCACGCAACTCCTTGATTAACCATAAAGGCCACGCCACCGGATGACGCCACATCATCATCTAGGTCCTTTCGGAATATGACGTAAGCACGTAGAAAATTTGTATTGGAGGATTTTAGGAGTGTTTCCTGTACACACAGCACTTTTGGTGAGTGTGTAAGAGCTCTTGGACGTCGTCGAGGTTTTTAAGTAGTCTTCTGACGTTCCAATGTAAAATTTGTGTTTCCATATTGGAAATAAAGTAGTGCTGTGTGTACGTTAAGGGAGTGATTTGTTTATGCTGAAAGTTCGAGCTCAAGTAACAGGGCTGTCATCAAGCCCTGTTACCAGTTTTAGTTCTCTTGGCGTGCTCCAGAGAGCCGCGCCGCTCTTTCGGCACCAGGGGTGCCGCTGTATCTATTGCCTCCTCGCAGGCACTGGATTCCCACACATGCAAGCTGGTTGTTCGAAGCTTGGGCCTCGCCTGGTGAGGTGAGGCCTTGAGAACCGAGGACCCTGGATTCTCTGGTCGCTGTTCAATAGTAGGCGGAGTAGACTCAACTACTGCCGCCCTGGCCCTGGGGACAGGAGCCACAGCCAATGGCTCGCTCTGCGCAGGCCGAAGGAGTGGCGAGGGCTGGTGCGACGATGCCACCTGACGCGCCGCATCAGCATATGTGGTGCCATAAAATGGTGAGACTATTGTTCTTGCTTCTTTAAACGTAATTTTTTTTAATCTTTAATGTGATGATCTCTTTTTCTTTTTTTCAAAAAAGAACAGGAGCGTGAGTATGCGGCATGATTCCCGCCACAGTTCACACAGAGTACAGGTGCATCACAGTTGTCGGACGCGTGGCCCACGATTTCACACAGAGCACAAGTTTTTCAGCCACGACAGCTCTGCGAGCCATGGCCATACCTCTGACATTAGAAGCAACGGCGGGGGTTAGGAATATATGGTCTCACGGAAGTCTTCGTGAAGCCGGGGCCAAAGGGGTGTGTTGCCTCTGCGGATTGGGGGGGGGGGGGGGGGGGGAGAATTAAGGTCCAGTCACCCGGCGTCAGCTAAACCCCCAGGATCCCCTTTTCCCCGGACACGGCAAAGCCACGCGCGGCTAGGCGTGGGAGGGAGTCAAAACTCCCCCGTTAGCTCGGGTCTGTGGTGTCGCTATATGTATACGCACCAAGCGCCTACTTGCGCAGACGCCCCCGCGGGGGGTTGCTTATTTGAAACGAAATGATTAAATCTGAAGCAACGTTTTCTGAAGCTACATAATCAGAGTCACTATAATAAATCTAGATGTACTAGAAAAGGTGTAGCTCTTCCAGATCGGTTAGTTGTGATCTTCTAGGATCCGAGTAAAATGTGCTCACAATTCTTACTTCAGCGAAAACTGATCGGCGCGCAAGGTTCCATCGCAGGCAGGACAATACCGAAAATTTGCAAGGGCTGCAGGTATGTACAAGCAAGATCGGTAATTACACACGCCAGACGGATATTAAAAGAAGACTTCGCGCGTGACGCACAGGTGCACGCGCTCAATCGTAACTACCACAAGCGCGCCACACATGCGATTCTATGGCCGCTCGCGAAAACTGCGCCCCCCCCCCCCCGGTGGCGCCGCAGCGGCGGTTCGGGAACTAGACCTGTCACGCCGGTTTTGGCGCACGTGGCGAGCCATACCCGTGCGCTTTTTCATCCAGCGGCCGTGCCAATTGGAATCTGAGTCACCACCCACGACACTACAAACAAGGAATTTTCGTCCGACAAGCGAGTTGTATCAGTCGGGATGAGAGTGAATACGTTCAGCACTAAATAACCTAAAAGAAACAGTTGAAGGAAATGGCTTGCACTGACCTCGCTGAAACTGAAAGCGGTATCGGAGCACCAGCATGTGTGGACGCGACGTATCTGATGTCACATTAATAATATGAAAACATCACATGCAGGAATTATTTCATTATTCACGCACAGAGACGTTTTTTTCACGTAGATGCAACTCATTTGTAATCAAGGCCGCCATCGCGGAGTCCCAGTTCCTTTCAGAAGCTGCCGACGCGCTCAACGCAGTGGCGGATCCACAGGGGGGGGGGGGGGGGGGGGCGTTAGGGGCAATCGCACCCCCTCTCCTTCTTTTCAGTGCTTGCCAATCACCTGCTATAGCCATTAGGACAAATGAGTCACCACTGTGAGCGCAGATGAACAGTACTTATGTCATTACTGGGTTTTTGGGCTAGTAAAAACAGAAAAGTAATGACCACGCCCCCCTTTCCAGTGTTAATTCAAGTTACACCCCCCCCCCCCCTAATGTGGGTGGCTGAATCCGCCCATGGCTCAACGTTGGGTGTGCTACGTGGAAAGTGTGAAGGAAATGACGTCATTGAGACTATATTCACTGAACACAAGTTCGCGGCGTTGATATGGTTACGTTAGTTATGCGTTGTGCAGTGTAGCTGGTCTAGCAGTGAGCGTTGGCGGAATGTGCTACTCTGTAGGCTTCGAATTGAGCCGTGGCCGACTTGCAATATTACCGCGTTTTTCCCTCAAGTTTTTATATCACCCCGTTCAACTGTACGTCATTCTCAGCGCAAACTAGGCCTGCAGTGCTCAAGAAGCTTCGTTAAGGGACTGTAGAAGATCATTTCTTTAAGATTATGTTCACTTCGCGAACATGACAGATTATTCTGGAATCCACGCGGCTGTTAACGATAACAATATAATATTCGATTGCACGTGTATAAATGTTGACGCGCTTCACCACTTGTCAATTGATCGATGGCCGACGCTCAGGTCGCCGATATCAGTGCCAGTGTCTCGCTGTAATCTGACTTTACTTATACGTCGCCACAAGTTCGGCCGAATAAACTGTTTAATCTTTGGCCTACTGTCTGCTCCCTTCATCGACGTCACAACGCTGTGAAATCTGGGGAGGTGCTTCCCGATCCATGTACCGCACGTACCCCTGCAACGTCGCGGAGAAGACACCGACGCCCACAACGACCAGCGAGTCAGCCGGAGGCAACAGCGTTTACCACCGGAGTACGCGGCCTTTACCTGACAAGACTCGCACGACCACCCTGACGACGACTGCTGCAACAGTGACAGCCGCTGCGTGATGCACCCACCCCGAGAGCCACCAAGATTCCATGGATCACCGAGTGAAAATCTGGAAACTTGGCTGGAGATAAGACCGAGTCGCCGCCTTGAAGCGCTGGGACCCCGAAGAAAAACTACGCCGCGTATACTTCGACCTAGAAGACTCCACGAAGACCTGGTTTGGGAACTGGTAATCGACGTCCAAGCAACAATTTATCCTTGGCAAAACGTCGGCCCGTCGTCACTCGCCAACTGTGAGGTTGCACCAACCTTGGAAACCAACGTAGATTGACATTAGCCTCTCGCAGCAAGTCGGTGCCCAACGTAGGTTGGACCACGTTGGCCGACGAGCCCGTGTGCGTGTCGCACGAGGGCAGACCATGGTACGACCTTACATATGCGTCATTTTACCTACGGCTGCAGGTCGGTTGCCACCGTTCCTTGCTCTTTCATTTGTATTTTGTGCACATGACATTAGCTCAGTGCACATGTAAGACGAAATTAAACGCCTCTGAAGTCTGCACTTGTTAGCGTGTAAGTACGTAACACGCAATAGAATAAAGGCGAACGTAAGCTTTCTCACCTTATATGTTTATTCCGCAGTTGTATAAATACACTATTCTTTATGCGACATTGTTTGCATGAAACGATTTGCAGCAGGTCTTGTGCAACCAAACCACACAGTCGATGGAGTGGCATTCCTGCTAGATCAGTTTTCTTCCAGTCAATTCTCGTGCTCTTGGCCGTGAATACGTATTCGGTGTGCGACATTTTCCCACCAAGATGTGAAGCTTTCCTCTTGCTGGGAAAAGCTGAAAAAGAACAAACAGAATGAATATTACTTAGAGGAAGGCAGACTATTTACTGGACTCGTTGCACAGTCGCATGCGTTTATAAGCTCTATTCACACAATTTGGCAAAATAATTTTGTGGGTATATACACAAATAAGAAGAAAATCTGTGCGCTTACAATACTTATGTGAGTGCATTAAGATTCTCAGACGTGTTTGAAGCCCCACAGCACACAGTTTCCTCGTAATATATCGCTCCTAAAGCCGTGGGTCTGTACACCCCTTGTATATCTTGGTACGTGACCCCCTAGAGCAGGTGCGGACGGGTGGACAGACGGAAGATTCATGGTTTACCAATAAAACCCTCCGAAGCTTCGTCCCACTCATCAGCATGCACGCCGTGGATATACCGTGATTTTTTTTTTCTTTTAACAGAAACGTGTTTTATGCCGGGGTCAGAATGTACTAGAACTGTTGAGTGGCGTGAACGCGCCTCACCGCCTTCCGCGTTAGTACTAGGTGGCTTGAGCCGCCGCCTGATCTGAAGGACACTGCCGGATACAACTGGAAGCGCCGCACGCAAGAACGTCTGTGCGCGTCGGCTCTCCCGACGTGCTTTTTTTAGATGCAGCTTTCTTTGTGCCTGCCCATCATTCATGTCTAACACATGCTTCATAAAAGTACTCGTGAGAGATCGAAAATTATTTGTTTTTTTTTTTAGATTAGAGCGTCAAAATTGTTACTATATGAAAACTGAAAAAGAAAACTGATTGGCACAGTGATTCGATTGACGCAGCCACGCGCATTAACTGCACTCTGGCTTTTTGGCAACACGACGGAAATCGTTCGGGTTGGTGTTGGTATAAAAAAGGAGTCGGGTCCACTTATTTCAGTGAATTCATTAGGTAAACCACCACATTATTTTTAGGATACATTCATTCAGCTCACCATGATCTTAATAAATAAAAAAATCTCTGTAAACCTTATGTGCTCACATTATAGAGCTTAACACACCTCGGCGTTGCGGACAGCCGAAGCGCAGACGGGGTAGACCGCCCAGCCGCTAGTTGGTACTCTTTTCTTTTTTAAGCGCTTGCTCTTGCATTCATCAATTCGCAATAAAAAATATATCAGCCTCTGTGTTTTACCTGAAGCCTACTTTTGTCCAGGTGGCTTTTTCAAGTGACAGAACCTCGTATAACACGCCAAGGAGCCGAATAAGCAAGGAAGCGCTTTGATTCTAATGCGGCGACAGCGAGCCAGCGGAGAGTTGAACGCTGCGCCGGCTACGAGAGGGTAAATATCCGAGGAAAATTGAGGAGGAGAACGAGCGCGCTGGGGAGAGTGTAGCCCCGCCGCGGTGGTCTAGTGGCTAAGGTACTCGGCTGCTGACCCGCAGGTCGCGGGATCAAATCCCGGCTCTGGCGGCTGCATTTCCAATGGAGGCGGAAATGTTGTAGGCCCGTGTACTCAGATTTGGGTGCACGTTAAAGAACCCCAGGTGGTCTCAATTTCCGGAGCCCTCCACTACGGCGACTCTCATAATCAAATGGTGGTTTTGGGACGTTAAACCTCACAAATCAATCATGAGGAGAGTGTAGATATTTTTAAAATATACGGACTTTAGGGTTCTGGGTTCTTCTAGTTGATATGTTAACTCCATGGCTGGGCCAGTACACTGACATGGCGCGCATAATAAACGAAGTCGGTTTTAGGGGTTGGTCCTGGCGCGAACTGGCAGTAGACGGGAGTAACTATACAATGTTTGAAATACGAATCGAACAGCTTTGACTTGTATTCTATGGTAGAATTCACTAGTAGAACACGACTGAATATTGGTTTCTTTTTGTAGTGTTAGCAAAAGCAAAGTTACCTGCAGGGCGCACACAGGTTGGAGCATGCTCGAGAGCAGTGGCTGTCGAATGGTTCTGCTTCTATACAGCAGAGGATATTGCTCAGATCGACACATGCAGGCACGCAGGCAGAATTTTCTGTTTGTGTGTTGGGAGAGGGGGAGGAGCATAAGAGGCACCTCCTTAAAATGGTCATTTCTCGCTCTGTATGGCATGGCGAAAAAAATTTCGTGGAAGGGGGGGGGGGGCGGCCCACGGTGTTCTACCCTCTTGCTACGTCACTGGAAGTACGAGTCGATGAAAGAATGATTGGAAGAAGTTGTTTAATTTTCTATTTAATACTTCTGTCGTTATATCACCAAGACATGTGTGACAGGTGTGCTCTGCCATGCATGGCAGAGCGCACCTACGATGTTTTTCTGTGCATATTTATTTGAAGGGGATTTGTAGATTCAATATTCAATCTATGTTTTGGCCTCTTTAAGGCATTGTGCAAAGTCAAAGCTACAGTGAGCATAACACTTACAGTGTTTCACTCACTAAAGTTGCCCGTGACTGAACAGTGACGTACATGAAGAGCAGAGGACTGAGAACGCAGGCACAGAAATAAGCGTGGAGAAGAAAGAATAAATGGTTGTGATCATGTAGCCTCAATACGTTATGAAAGGCACACTGTTTCGAGACTTTACAACACTCCATAGCGCAAATGTAGTGAAGTAGTATTGCTTCTTTTCTGAGATTCTGCACGCCATCACAAACATTTCTCATTCATTAGGCTTGGTTTTACAACATCGTAAGGCCATCACAGTTTCTGCTAGCATTGCAATGCTTTAATCCAGCGCAAAATGACTTATATTTGTAACTGTTATTTATCAATGTAGCTCTAACACATTTCCAAAGTTTCGGTGCGTGCAAGACATAGCATTGCGTTCACCGATGCCCAATCCCCGAGCGAAAGACATGGAGCCTCGAGTCATGATACAGCGAGGGCAAAATGGTACCAGTGTGAAAATTTTCTGCAAGACTAGTCCATTAGTCTTTCTTGTCCAGTATGCCTGCCTAATCACAAAGGGCTGGTAATGTCGATATTACTAAATGTTGAAAATTTCTCATCATTACTTTCAGCCAGTTTAATTGTGTAACCTTTAGGTGAGCCAACAGATTTTTAGTCAGTCCCTCACTGACGTGTTGTCTCCTGACGGTACGTCATCAGTATACGTTAGTCGGTTGGTTCCTGGCCCATCCCCTTGTGGGTGAACCACTTGATTCTTGGCCAATTTCCCATAGTGGGTATGCGCCACGATCAATAGGTGAACAACAACAACAACCTTGGCTCGCAAACGCCCCGTGATTGTTCATATTTAGAACTGGTAAGAATGCAGCCCATACAAGAAGAACCCAAGCGCAAGCGGCGCAGGGAAGCCGACCAGTCCGGCGTCGTCTCACCGCCGGCCGAGCCTCTGCAGCGTAGATGGACTCCTTCGCCGACGCGGGTGACACCATCACCTGGTTCACGCTTCCTGTCTGAGGGCCCGTGGCCAGTGGCAGCCGTGCTGCCAGATCGCAGCTATCCCGGTTACGAGGGCTACTCGGGGCCCGTGTCGGAGCAGTCGCTGGATCCCGAATCCACGAGGGAGTCCTCGAAGACCAGCAGCACCGAGTGCCTGAGTCTCGTCCTTGGCATTGCCTTTGCGGGACTTCTCTTGAGCATCGGCCTGCTCGTCGTGCAGAACAACTTGTCGCCCTACGACATCACGCCGGACACAGAGGAAGATGCCTTGCAGCGTCGGCTGGAAATGGCGCCCAGCAGCGTCGGCCAACATCTCATCCCGCGGAGTATCGCCCATCCGGACGTGGACGAACGCGGTATCAGGAAGACGACGATGAGGGCTCGCGCGGGGGCGCATCTCACGGGCACGGCTGCGAAGGAAGGGAAAGCTCGACCTCCACTGACGAGTGCGAAGACGAGCCCTGGGACTACACTGCAGCCGGTCACCGCAGCAGCTGCTGGGGAAGACGATGCGCAACCGAGACATGTAGGTTGGCACTCTCCTTATGTGGCGATTCGTGCAATTTTCTTTCAAGTAGCAGTACACGCACGCACGCACGCACGCACGCACGCACGCACGCACACACACACACACACACACACACACACACGCACACACACACACACGCACGCACGCACACGCACACGCGCGCGCACACACACACACACGCACGCACACGCACACGCACCGCGCGCGCGCCACATAGTGTTGTGCGAACACTAAGCGAGCGGTAACATTGTAAACGTCTTGAAGGTGTTAGTGCAATCGTATGCCTTTACAGCTGAATGTTCGGCAAACTAGCTAATTGCCAATTTCACCCCGTAGCAATATTCCAGGTAGCAAATAGGTGTATCAAATTAAATTCACTTATTTTTAGGCTAAGGGTGATATCGCTGTGGTAAAGTTATTGGGTAGGAGTAATTAGCCGTCTGCGCACTTATTCACGTTTCGTAGCCCAGAATGGGGTAAACATGTGATCTCGGGCTTGGCGTAAGAGAAGTGCCGACATGGCAATTCTTTCATTTCAATGAATGACCCCTCTAAATGATGCGTAAGTAACCTTTAGTGCAGTAGCAAAACAATCATTTGGCCTAGTTTGTATTCGTTCAACTTAATGCAAAAAATTGGGTGCCCCCTATTTTTTTTTGCCTTAAGATATATGATAATGTTTACCGCTTCGTAGTGAAGGTTCGCAACGCTGCCTATTCTGGCGTGGCATCTTCTGGCACTTTGACGGTTGTCAGCTGTACATTCACGCACGCGTTTTTCGAACACTATTACAGACCCTTGAACAAAAGAAGTACGAATAAGCTTGTTCAGACACGCGAATAAAACCTAAAACCAGGAAATAAACAATGACAGTGTTTCACACGGGGACACGAACAGACGATGGGCCTATTTAGAGAATATCTGTAGCGAGATGTGAATCTGGACGATTGAAATATCTGCCTTACGTTATGCGTTTTAATTAATAGACCACCGGACATAGGTTAGGTTAGGTTAGGTCAATACACTACAACTTGTAGTGTATTGACCTCGTGAGCTAATTTTAATGATTCGGGTCGATTAGTCGGTATTTACACGAAGAAAAGAAAAAAACACCTATCGGGATCACATG